TTTTGAAAGTTATTGAAAGACTTATTTTACTTAATCTTGAACCCTCTTTAAAGCCTTTTGATGACCCTAACCAGTTTGCCTATAAACGTAGTAGGTGTACGTTAGATGCCGCTGTTGTCCTTTACCATAGCATAGTCTCTAGTTTAGATAAAGGAGCTAAATACGTTCGCTGTGCCTTCCTTGATTACACGTCTGCATTTGACTCTGTTCCCAGGTCTCTCTTGCTAAGTAAGCTTGCTGCAACACAGGCTGACAGCTGGACAAATAAGTGGTTGCATTCCTATTTTTCTGATAGGAAGCAGTACACCGTCTACAATGGAAAGTCCTCCACTACCTCACTTACTTTAGCTGGTGTTCTTCAAAGTGCTGTTCTTTCTCCCTTTCTGTTTTCGTTTTTCTTACATGACTTACCTCATTCTGATGTAGCCACTTTTGTTAAGTATGCCGATGACCTCTCTGTTTCTAGGCCTGTCAACTCTGAGTCAGATTGTTCCAAATTAAACAACTTTCTGTCGGAAATTAGTCAGTGGTCCTCTTCAAACGAACTTAAGCTTAATCCGTCTAAATGTCAGGTAGTCGATTTCACTTTCAGACGTAAATGTGACCTACAGCAACTAGTTAGCTCACATGGCCCCATTATCATTGACGACACAGAGGTTGAAAATACATCTAATGTCAAATACCTTGGGCTGAGTTTTTCTGCCGATCTTTCCTGGTCTCCCCACATCTTGCTAGTTACTAGAAAGATATTTCGCTTAACGTTCTACATTAGGAAATTTAGGCAGTCTGGCATAAAGCAGTCTTTGCTTTCTCAGTTTGTCAATTCTTGTATTCTACCCATCCCCCTTTACTGCTCCCCATTAACCTCTCCTGGACTACTTAAGAAAAACTTCGCTTCGCTGAGAAGGCCACTAAAAGCCGTTAGTAGGGCAAGTGGGATATCGTTAAACCAACTGGTTAACACTATTGTAGATAGACATATTATATCATATAAGAAACTAGCGAATACAATATTGTCGGACCCCGAGAATCCTCTCTATACGCATCTGTCTCCTTGCATTTCATCTGGTAGAACTAGAAGCAGCTATAGGAGGCTGGCTATATGCTAGGACTACCAAATACAAAACTCCACAATATCATACCTGGCACAGCTGTTATGTGATGAGAAATCCGTTAGGTATGACACGATAAACTTACTGCGGCACTCTAACAAATAGTCCCATTAGTTTTTGTTTTCCTTTCCTCGTTACTATTACACTGTTGTTCTCATCTTCTATCACACATCAACTTTATATTTCATATCCTGTGGTGCATTGTTTGAAATGTAAACTCTACGCTGTTTGTTTTTTTATTTTTATTTATCTTTTTTTGGCGTTGGTTTTTATTTATTTATTTTTTGATTTTAAAAATCTTATGTAATTTATGAGGTAATTAGATGCAATATACTGTAATGCACGCTGAAAATTCCATACCTGTACCACAAATACCGTTTGGAATAACGCTGTTATTATTATTATTAAATTTCGTGCCAACTACACATTGCAAAACTAATTCTCTGAGCATAGGTTCAACATACAACTTAGTGCTAAGTGATATTTGAATATTCAACAATCTTGGAGCCCTCAATCCAAATAAGGATGAAGCATATTCATCAACAAGAAAAGGAATATTTACAAAAGAACCACTTTCTGATTTCGATGAATTGTTGGCAGTAGTAATCAGAGTTAGTTTATGAGCAGTAATGCCTCTAATTGAACTGCTTTTGGAGTTTAGTTAAGTATACTTTAAAGCTATATTAAATCTGTATTAGAAATTATAGACTCAGTACTCCCAGTATCAGTCATAAAGGCGTGAAACGTGACTGAACGTCTGGTGGAGGTTATCATTCGGTTAGGTTGAGTATTGTTAAAATTTGGAAGATACATTGACCGCATTTCACCAAAACATTGTAAGAATCATGTAAGCTCTGAGTAGCATAATTATTGGGACAACGGCAAACAGACTTTACGCTGCTAATCTTACCAAACTTATGGCTGTGTACACCCTGTAAGCGGCAAGTAATTCGTAGATGAATCTCGTTACATGGAAGGAATGATTTGAAAATTTTATTCTATGTCTGCAAACTGTCAGATGTGGTGACAGTTTGAATTTCGTTTCAACAACACTTGCATTATCAACTTTGAGCAGCATCACATCAAAACCGACGCAACGGGAGCTTGGAATTCACCGTTGACATCTTCACATGCAATGCATAAACCCTAAGTGGTTTGAAAAGTGGAGAAACGAATACATGCAAGCTATTTCTATCTCTTGTATCGGCATATTGATTCCAGCGATTAAACAATTAAGTAGTTTAGTATGGAGCTGATCCTCACAGCTGCAATTCAAAGCAGCTATCAGAGGCTGTAGAATAAAGTTTCGAGTATTTCGGTAAGGCGTGGGAGCAAGTGTGTTGAACTCAGCACCCTCTCCTGTTTCAAAAAGACGTAACATAAAAGTGCCTTGCCAGAATTCTACGGACAAGTTATGGTTAATTTTGCTCATTTCATTGATAACGTTATCAACTGGGAAACTTCCCAACTGATGAACTAAATTCCTCAAGTTTAAACAACATCATGTTAAGTGTGAATTCGTCAACACAGAGAGGTATACAAGTAACTCAGAATGAGTTTACTAAATTCATCTGACAAGTCGGCGTAAGTTAAGTATTTAAATGATAAAATTGTGGTTGAGAGACGGATACTACGAAATAAAACAACACAAAAACAGTTTATGGTTGCCCTGTGCAAAATTGCAATCCGTTAGTTAAGCAAGATCTTGTGTCCTCTGTAGATTCCCTCTATATTTGATCGAACTTAATTCTATTGTCATATTCGAATCGCGTGAATGAAGCTAATTTACTAACCAGGTATTCACTTCGTAAAAGACCGTAAGTCATTGAATGAAGTACAAGCTACAGTTAGTAGCTGGTCAAAAAAGTAGTGCAGTGAGCAATATACAGAGAATGAGTGTATATCTCATGAAAAACGGTAGATAAGGTGAGATTCATCTAAATTACTTATTGTTTCATTCATCCAATTATATTTATTGATCACTGAACAGATTCGCACACAGTTTGACTTAGTTTCCAAAAAAACTAAAAAAAAATGAAGAATAAGCACAGGAAAATGACAAGGATAAGGGTGACTCTTAATTATAACAGATCAAAACGAAACTACCTCTAGCAACCAATCATATTCGTAAGAAGTAGAAGTGGGCAATTTGAAATAAACCTCTATATCTGTGTGGCCGTTTTCGCACCATAAAAGCGATGATCACTATTACCACTAAGACCATTGGAAGCATTACTGCTCTCCTAGAATCGGATAGTTTGAATTGTCTAGAGTGAACTGTTAAAATATTCAGTACACAAATTATTGAATAAAAAAAAGACCTGTAAAATTTCTGTTAGCTTTAATTACAACAGTGTTGTCTGTGAGAACGTGGAATATTGAATCGTACGATGAGAGCTTTTAGTAATTAGACCCCCAAATCACTACTAATTATAATCAATGTTCACCAGCCTACATATGCGAGAGTGATTCACCCACGTACCACTTTGTTGTTTTTATCAGAGAAGTATATAGCCTTATTTACTCTGCAATATGAAATACTCTTCATTAATTAGGTCAAATTCCTGTGCATTTTGTTGATGTTCAGTCATCACACAAATATATTCATTAAGTTGAGTCTACTACTTTTTTTACACAATTAGCATCACGTTGTTAAAACAGAGTAGAGAAGTGAAGGATCGCATTGAATCGCAGATAAATATCAGAGGAGATGACTGTGAGATATAGCGATAGTATTTGGCGCACTGAATCAGCTACTCACATCACGTGCTAACAACAAGAATACTTGTTCTAAAAGCAATCGCAATATCACACACATTTTCTTATGCAATGTCTTCTAATTCATTTCAAAGATTTTCGTGAAATACTCATCACACTGACCACTGAATAAAACTGTTTGTCTTCTGTCATATGTGATGAATGTTGGTGGGAATATTTTCAGATATTACAAGCACTTAAAATCCTAATTTATAAAATTGCTTCAATCGGGTATTCTAAGCATACTCCAGTAGTCGATTAGTCATGTTAGTTCTGAGTTGCTTTCCTTACTACTGACCCATGAGTCTGTCGAGCATCGTCAGCTAGTGTTTCACACAGTATCACAATAGCCTACAGGCTGTGTTGAGTTGATCTTAACATGCATCAATCTAGGTTCTCAAGGTCATATATGTGAACGACTATCCAGTGAATGCATTTCATGGAACACTGATGCTAGCAGGATATTCTGAAAATGTTAAAAGACCATCCTCACTCTTATTTGAGTCATTTGAAAAAATTTCTGCTTGATGAAGTTTGCATGATATTTCTATCCATCTTCACAGATGTGTCCCAAGGTCTTTCTTCTTCCAACTTCGCTTGTACTTTGAATGTTATTACCCTTAAACTATGGAGGTTGTGTGGTCTTATTCATATGAAACACATTGAGTGGCAGTTATTTTACGACGAGTAAGCCTGGTTTACAATGTAATCTAAGTGAATATCGATAACACTTCGTTATGTGATGTTCTGAAAGCAATTCCACACTCAGGAAGGCAATTTCATGTTACAAATATTCACAGACATCGTCTATGGTGATGATAATTTGAAATTGAATTTTCACTTCCAGAAGTACTTCTGAATCAAGTGTTTGCAGAAGTGAAGACTGAAGTAAGTTAACCAGATGAATGACCACTAAAATTATAGTCGAGTTTCATCAACATTAACCAGGAGTCGTGCAATAATAATGACTTGTTGTATAAGAGCGAATATTCATTGTAGCGTGAAAACAAGAGTCTTCTATTAATGCTGGACACCCACTTACTCACCTGCTCACTCATGCACACCCAATCAACACACTGACCTATTTGAACAAATGAAAAACTTTAGAAGCACCTCTATTTTATCAAAGGACAGACGGATTACAACAGTTTAACAGGCCACCAAGAACAGTATAAAATTTGGAAAGTGTAGCCAGACTAAATAAAGGAAACAGAGAAAATGTTCAACTCAGTGTCCAGTTACATATCTGTGATAATGCTGCTGGTATTCGCTGCCATAAGCGAAGGTGAGTATGTATTAAAATGACTGTGCATTTGTGACTCAATCTGATCGAATTTATCCGTTCTACATTATGATGAATATTCTTGATTTATCCTGTCAGTCTTATGTAAGACACTTTCGTGGTCATGTATCTGAACGAAAACTGATTGATGATATCTCCATATTTGAAATAGAACATGAGTGGAGTAAACATTCCATTTCATGCTCTCAGCGACGTTGAATCCTCCAACTGATATCCTGCTAATTATCATGTCTCGGATCTCCAATCAAATACACCAAATACTCACATGTCTCTTCATGCATTTGAAATAAACAGACTCTCACATCGCATTCACGTGTTATTGAAGTTTCGGTTTGTATATCAATTGCTGTTCTCTTCACTTTGTCAATTTTCAAGTCGAATCAACTAAGTTAGAAGACATTGAGAAGTTGCTTTCGAAGTCTAAAGGTAAGACGATTTACTTCACATGCGTTTTCAATTTTTCTTATATTCTCCTACACAGGCTTTTATGTAGGTACTGCTCCTCAATGTTTCGTCACATACTATCGCTTCTAAAATCCCTCTGTTGTAACTTATTCTAAACATGTTTGCCTTTCTCCTCCACAGATCAGTTACCCATTTCAGCTCGGTTTGTTATCAACAGTGAAGCAGCAATTAAACAGCTTCAAGGTAAACAATTATTCCATGTGACTACTTGATTTCTGCATCTCGTGTTTGCATGAGATATTCGTTATATTTTAAGGAGATTTTCCCAATAGGCTGTTTCGTGTAAATACATTGACTTTCAGTATTGAGAATACATGGATTGTTTTTGTCTGTCTTTTGCCAAACCACGATGGGAGATGTTCACTAACAAGTTGACTAAGCTGTCTAGTAGTAAGCCCAACATAACTGTCACCACAGGTGCAGTTGAATTGATAAATACACATAGATGTGGCAAAACTATCCAGCTTATCCTTCGTTTGCGTCCCAATCATTCGTCGGCTAGAGAATGACAAACATAGGTGTGCTGCGTAAAATGTTCTACGTATACTCCTTGAAAGTCTTTGGAATAGAATCTCACTTGATAAGTCACCATTAAATTGTGACTAAATAAATAGAGGTTTCTTACGTGCAGTCAGAGTCTCAGGTTTTTTCTCTGATGTTTTCATATGTTTCTTTATGAAACTACTCGGATAGCCCACCTCCGTCAAGGAATCGTTAATGTATTCAAATTCCTTTTGTAAGAGGTCATCCATACATATCTTTATTGCTCTGCTTGAGAGACATTTTACAACATTCCTTTTATATTTAGTGAGCACGTAACTAGGGAAGTGTGTGTATTGCACTGTGAGTGTGCCTTTTCAATACACGCTTCTTCCAAGTCACCCATCTTCTCGCCTACTTAGCAAGACATCCAGGAAATGTAGTTTATTCTCCTGCTTCTCTTCACAAGTAAAAGTAAGGGAAAAATGGATGTTGTTGAATTTCAGCAACATTTCGTCTATGTTAACATTCCCATCAGCTAAGATAAATGTAGCATCGATATATTGATAATACATATCAAACTCCTTGATGATGTCTTTCAATTTCCCGTTTTCAAGTTTTGCGAGAAAGAAGTCAGCTAACATTGGGCCGAATGGTGAACCCATGGCTATTCCATCTACTTGTGGATAGTATGAATTATTGAAGACAAAGTGAACATTCATTGTGCATTTAAGAAGTGATTCTTTGAGGCTCACTCACTGTTTCCGACATAGGGAATTTTGAACATATACATGTGTCCGATTTCATGCAGTTGATCTTCTCATTTCTCTTTTTCACTAGATAAGATTAATAATGAAACTGCAGTTAAAGGCAACGGCAACCTTGAGAACTGTGAGTGAAGATTTTTTGAATTTCGATGACTAAGAAACTCTTTCAGATGTCAACTGCTGGAGAGAGTCTTTTAGAAGCTTTTCTGGACTGACATTATTTGACGGTGAGTTCCAGGATTTGTCTCACCTGTGAATTCTTCTTTTATTCACATGGTTGTCACACGTGTTCGAGTTAATATTCTTGCATACATCTGGGTGGAGACGATGAAGTTGCAGCCAGAACACTCCAGCGAGGCCTTACAATAATGTAACTATACTGTCATACTTGAAACAATTATCTAATGAGATTACTCACTGATTTAGTATTGAGAAAAATGTGATGCATTGAAGTTGTTGGGAAGGAGACATGTTCAGGGTATCTCACTTTTACTTTGCTGGAGATGTATACGATACGCTTGCAACTTCAATCCAATTAAAATAATCATTCTGTGCCCATCAGATTTATAACCATGTACTACACTCAATACATCTATGCATCAACTGAAAGCCCTTAGGCGCCAATTTCGAGCCGTAGGGAAGTCAAGTCAACTAGCCATTCCAATGGAATGAAGACTTCATTTAATCGATGAGTATAGTTACCTCGAAGTCGGATGAAAACAGCATAACTGGAAATCAACGTTTGCTGAGAATCATTTGCGTCTTTAGAAGTAATTAGCAGCCAATGGTAGTCAAACAAAACATGGCTTCATCAGTCAATGAAAGCCACAACAGTAAGTATAAGCTAAACACGTAGGAAGGTGTAAACTTCCCAGTTGAGGTTCTCGGGACGGTAATCACCAAAGGCTCGGGACAATTGATGACACGGTTAAAAATCGTATTCAACAGTGCAGATGCATCCAATCCTTGTGATTCATAATATTCAATGAAACTATAACCTTCTCCGACATTACTATTCTTTTTGCAGATATCTCTGCCCACTGTCTCTATTTTGCATTCAACTTTACTTTCTTCACTTGCTTTGTACACCATATGGAGTGTGGTGATTTGAACTGCTAAACATTGCTGCAAAGTTCCATGCTGAAACTAGTTAGCCAGTCATTAAGGAATAATAAATCTGACGAGAATTGGATGATGTAGGCTCGTCAGTATAATCGCATTGTGATAATCAGTAGAGGAGATTGGTAAATTATTCCTGAGTGTTTTGATTGGACACTAGTAACTAGTGTCACGTGTCCAGCCCTTTCTTTTGTGCAGACTGAATTCTCTCAGTCAGGTTTATAATGTGGCCACCATTCTAGGTAGCTCACCATCACGGTTCAAATTGGTTTGATGATATTAGGTAGTTGGAGGCAATCAGCAGGAAGCCTCACACCTAGTTTTCGTGCTAGTTGGCAGATAATTCAAGGTTGCAGATAAGCTTTGCTGACGAGTGCCGATTGGCACGAAACATAGGTCCAAGACTACCAGCCGATTGACTCCAACTATCTAATATTCTTCAGTATACCGGGGAATCAGCCGGTTGTGAGGTAAATGCACATACATTTCAGTGGTGAAATTTGCGTCAGCACCTATTCCGTTGCATAATCTCTTAATGTCAGTTATCATTTTTTCCGTTTTCAGATATCAGAATCGGACTTACAAACCAACATGTACAATATGGTGAATTGAATTTATGTCAACTGACTTCTTGTGTATGGTTGTTACCACTTTGTATGCAGCCAGTATATAATTTGAGTCTTGTGAAATCCACATGGAATTCAACAACGAAATATTTACCTGAATGTGTGAATAGTGTATATACGCCTAATGTAATCAATAGAGCTTAACACATGTCATGTGATAATAAGCTACTACATTCAGGTGTTTAAGCTACCTTCGGGTATCGGGTAGTCAATTCATCTTCGACTCGAATAATACTCACCCTCTATTTATCATCCATTGCACCGTCTTTCCACAGTCTCCAAGACAGCTCCATCCAAAATACTTCCTTAATTATTACTTTAATAAATAATCGGAATTATTGCTACCCACTGGCAATCATTCTTCCACCACTCATGATCCTCATCGGAATTTCAATTATATATTTCACTGTCCATTTTATGGAAAACATTCATCATCTATATCCATATAGCCGTTTTAAAATATGTCCGATAGGAGCCTCTGTATGACTCAGCATTCAGGAGCTAAATTCACACATTTATCTTAAACTACTTTTCAAACATAATGAACATGACTTCATGTGTTGTTTGAAATACATCTGCATACAGGTCCATACGCAGAGGAGTATTCTCTTCTACAATGTGTCCAGGAAGAATCGGATGCTTACGAAGGTAAACAGTTTATCTTTGCATCCTTCTTTCCCACTTTTTCAATAAGCATTCCTATCCAATTTTACCTGTTACGTCGGTGTGAATTTCACTTTCAGACTCTCCTGATAATTTCAAGCACAAACCAAACAGCAAGGTTTGGAGATTTATTGAACAAGATAACTCAGTTCATATTGATTGGTGTGATGTTTTACCATTCGATAGTTGTGCAGTTGCATGAGTATTTGTTGATAGTGATAAGTTCAATGAATGTTTCCGTTCACATCGTTTCAATGTGCTGTTCTCTCCTTCCATTTCTGCATTAGCTATGTTGCGATCAGCAGAATCAGTCGACTGTGACGGTTATGGACCATTGGGAAACGAAGAAGGTAATCCATTAATGATAACCTGCACTTCAAATAAATTCTGTTAAATTATTTCATTGAAAAATGTTAGAATTAGATTTTTGTATTTCATCAGGTTAATTTTCGAAAGTCAAATGTATCCTCATAGGAGTTTAGTTCACAGGATTCACACATTTTTTGATCTGGTTGTGCTGTCAGTGAACTGGAAGTTGAACTACCAGTGTGCAGGATGGATTATCAAGTGCAAAACCAGACTGCTTTCCTTTCAAGTTCCTTATTACATATTACATCTGTGAAGGGCGATAACGTGAATTCTGAAGTCTGTGAAACTATTGAAATATAAGAGAGACTTGTCAGTTCACCAATAATAATGAATTCGAAATAATACGATTTCAACACATGACGAGATATTACTAGTAGGTGTAAGGATTATCACAAAGGTGTTATGACTGTCTTCAAGGACGTTCGGTGATCGACACTGAAGTGAATGAACACATAGACGAGTTAGTCTCCTGCTTAAACAACAACTCAATATATCAAACCACCAACTATTTCACAGTATTCTGCATAATCACCTTTCACTATTTGATTCTGTGACATTCAAATTTAACATGTCGGCATCATCTTTCAAATTTCAGATCTTCAGGAATTGCAGAAAAAAATAAAAGCTTCATATAAATACAGAATGTTTTATGGTCATGCAATGTGTAAGTGGAAACTGTTTTTTATTGTCCATAGGTTTCACAAACTCCATTTATGCGTCAACATCTATTCACAAAAACAAAGTACAAACGACTTCCTGATATTACGTATAATGTGCATTTGTATTGTGCGCACAACTCCAGGGGATTACATGAACATGCTTCGCTTGACAATGGTTATGCGTTTATAACTGAAATCAATTATAATTTCATTTGGGATTTTGAGATTTCCGCAGAGCTCTTCATCATTTAGTAGTCAGTACACAACGCTTGGTTGTATGTAGGTTTATTCTCTGATGAACGTCAAACGATCACAGAAAACTAGTTTAGTCTAGAATAAGCACTATCAGATAACTTTACCGACTGAAATCGCCAAACCGTCAGAATGAGGCAGTTTAGTTTCACACAGGTTGACCTTATGTACACACACAAAAAAATTTGACTACTACTCTGTTATATAGCGTAGAAACGTAAAGAAGGAACTAGATCAGTATGAATGTTTGCATGACAATGTGGTAAATTTAGAAGAGAATGATGAAAGGAATTTAGTTGAGGAGAAACTGTCCAATGTTTTCACGTGTGTATTTATACACTTCATGAAGACTAATCAATACATTTGTGAATATCAAAAACAGCAATGACAACGGCAGTGAATCCTTGTCACAATGCGGATTTTTGAATAACTGCTGCTTCCTACTCTATACAGGTGACCTACCTACACAATATAAGAAGTGTTGACTGATTGAGCATCAAGTTTCCTTCATCGAAATGCTTGTAGACGCATGAACTTATTCAATGCATTTTTTACTGCCAACCATATTTCATCAGTTGTATTAGAAAAATTTCACACACTGATGAACAAGGTTTAATTTTCTTTCATATGATACGTCACCTTTATTTGGCTCTTTCATTTTCAAGTGCTGACGAAAATTCATGAAACTGCTATCGAGAGGTTGAAACGTAAGTTTTGCCAACTATTACAAAAAATCTTTTCATGTTTCCTCTTTCAAAATCGACTGATGAGAGGAACTGCCATCCTGTCTTTATGTAGAAAAGTGTATAAGTGAAGTTAAAATCCAATCCGTGTGAATGCGATATTATTTGTATTGGGAACACTAGGAGCAAGAGTCATATGATTCGGTGGATCACCAATTTATTCACGTCATGTCATATCATATAATATAATATGAAATCATATCTAGTATTTTGAGGAGTATATGGCAATTTATCACATTCTTCTCAGCTGAACACCAGTTGTGGTCAAGTCGATGTGGACCATGTCAGACTTTCCTAACACACTCTCACTAACATCCGCATCCACACACACACGCACACCTACACACATTAGTGCGAATAAATTCATTTGAGATATCTGAAACATAATGAATGGATCAGGATGACTGGAGTCACTGACTCTTTATCATCCTTGGTGTGGAGTGATGCTCATAATAGGTGTTGTGAGTTCTTCAAGTCAAATAGTTTGCACAGATATTCAGAACTGGTCAATTCTCTTGTGTCTTCACATCATTCAGCGTTGTTAGCTTTCTCATGAAATCATTAATACCAATCCGCTCTTATTTTCTCTACAGGGGCAGGAAAAAGAAACTAGACGAGAATACGAATGTCCTGCACACGCTAGCATGGGAAATGTGTATTCTGCACATTACTGAAATGTATTTGTGTGCAGTGGATTTCGTGAACACTTCTAACTGAATAACTCACTTTCATAATAATGCTTACTGTCTTTCTTCTAAATACAATTTCATAATTCAAATATTTAACCTATTCCGACTTGTCAGATGAATTCCATGTTATCCTGGCATAGCTCGTCATCAGGAGTGTCGCAAGGTTCTATCTTAGGACCGCTGATGTTTTCGATTTTCATCAGTGACCTACTACGGCGCCTAAGCTGTCCGACTCTTCTATACTTTGACGACGTAAAGATATGGAGGTCAATAAAGTGTTCAGAAGACTCAGATAGGCTGTAGGTGGGCCTTAGGCCTCTGGGAGACTGGACGTTGGCCAATGGTATGACTTTTAACCTGAAAAGAGCGCAGAGTGGTGCAATTACGCACCTGCAGACTGCAGAATTCAAGCTGCATCATATGCAATGCGGTCATACATTTAACACATAGGCAGTTAGATGCACTCACTCCTGAGCTCTTTTAAGATGGTAAAAAACATACGTCAGACCACATCTTGAAGTGTATATTATCATTGCACCCCCACTGTCTAGAAAAGACGCAGACCTCTCAGAAAGAGTCCAACGACGGACAACAAAAGGAGTGGTTCGTCTCCGAAATAAACCATATGATGAAAGGCTGAAGAAATTAGGCCTATTCACACTTAGCTACCGCCGTCTTAGGGGGGATTTGATTACTGCCTACAAAATAACAAATAACCAGGATCGCCCAAAGAAAGGTGTTCTACCATTGAGTCGGTTTAGGCTTCCTCGTGGAAGTCCCAGAAGGATAGCTCACCAAAGGGCAAGGACCCGGGTGCGCTCCCACTTCTTTTCACTGCGGGTTTGCCGTCCCTAGAATTCCTTACCGGCAGATGTAGCTATGGCACCGTCTGTGAACACCTGTAAACGAAGGCTAGACAATCTTGCAGCGACACAAGGACTACGTCTAAATGTCCTGTCCCCTTAAAATCCCATACACCATTCATTGGTAGACATCTGAATGCGCCATTTTACTTCTTTACATTCTCTCCCGTCTTACTCTCCTGACCACTCTAACTACTACATTAACACTTATTATTATTATTGATACTGTAAACACATAAACATTTATATGTGTACATATATATCAACCTCAAATTTAACTGGCCGTCTGTTTTCATGTTTTCTTTATTTATTTTTCTGCCTTTTAGTCTAAATAACCTACACTTATTATGTCTATTATCATTATTATCTCTTTTTTGACGACAACACCGGAGAACTAACTAGTGAAAGGATCAACTTCATTCACAGTAGTAGTAAAGCCTCAACACACCGCATACCACAAATAACAAATATTTAGTCACAGCACCACTCCTTTTGGAGTCAACCAAAGCTACGACAGTCGAGTGACGAGCTACGCAGAAGTTTACCGAAAATCAGGAACTTTTAACTGGAAGTCAAGAAGCGAGCACAGAGAAATCAAATTGGTTTATACTGTAACAACAAAAAACAAGGGCCAGGCAACAGATCGTTTTATTAAGGAAATCAGCACGTATTTATTTTATCTCATGTACATTGTTATAGCTTATTCAGGCAGACAAACACAGTCTTCCGATTGTTTGTTTCTTGCTCAAGGTTATTCTGTACTGCTTGTGACTGGTTTCACAGAAAGTTAAGCCATATATCTGCGAATCGTATTTGCCCACGTTAAGTCTTCTGTGATTGGTTGTTGAATCAGTCTTGTTCATATTTTCTCACGGCCAATATTAGCGACATAATTATTGACGTAAACTAATGTCTACCAATTGGCTAACAGCCTGCTCTCATCACAATACTAGCTCATAAAACGATATTGGATATCGGACTATTGCCAATATTGGCGACTATAGTCAACTGGAATTCTGTTTTACCAGTGAAAAAGAGTTAAATCAACTGGAAACATCACTAAAAAAAGAAACTTTCAAGGGTGCTGACGTTAGTTTTCAATTGGACCCTGATGACGTTTAGATGTCAACAATGGTCGGCAAGCTATCGTTTAGTCCCCAGTCTTCTTCAAAAGGAATGCTCAACTATACCTAGGGGCCTAAGCTTCCAAGTCATTTCACAGTATATGGAGCATCAACGAAGTTAGCCCTCTTCAAATAGAGCTCTTGTCAAGTCATTACGTGTAAGGTTGTTTTATTTAAACATGTCTTTCAGTCGCAATTATTAGTAAATTCGTTTCTGCTGCATTGCCTGATGAAGACTCCGGAAGACAGCATTACGCCTACTTCCACGACCTCCGTGATCGCACAGCCAAAAGAGGAGGCCCGCGAAGAGTAATTAAACATTTTCCTGTCAATTTAAGTTATATATCACAAACAGACTCAATGTATGCTGCTCAACCAAATTCTGAATTCATTTTACGGGTCGGTGTATGCAACAAGAATACTGACCGGAGGAGCTCTCCCGTCAGCAGCAATTTCATTAAATTAAGGCCGTAAAATTTAGTCGTGCAACTGCCAGTAGGATTTAATTGTAAAGGTAATGATAATCAGTGTTGCCAGTTACATGGATTTGATGTTTGTCTGGCCGTTTTGTTCATAATCACTAAATTGTCATTATATGTGTAGTGAAATTTTCGACGTTAATCGAGTTGAACACACAATTACGTTAAAAAAGTAGACCAGTTATTTATGAATAGCTGAGACGATTTTTCCACAAACGTTTTAAAACTCAATCAACTCAATTAGCCATACAAGCGTAAGTTGAAATGTACTCGTCGAATTCTACCTTACCCACCAAAAAACGCTTACTTTCAAGGGTACTTCAATCGATCTATTGGATGATGGTGATCAGGCGTAATGTGGAATTCAGCCAACATAATTTGTGAATCTAACTGTTCGGTAATCTGAAACAATTAGTTTCGAGAAGGTTTGTCAAATTTGTTTCTATTTATATTAAATGACTTAGATATAAATTCTCTTTGACGAACATTTATTTCAATGGGTAAGGTTCTATTCTGAGTAAGCACGTTTACGTTTTTGATAAAATGCGTGATAGTTAGAAAACAACAATGAACAGCCTAATTCTATGAGAAAGACAGGTGATAATTGAATGAAGTAAAGCGAATAAGGGGGAAATTATCAGATGAAAGCGGATACAATGGAGACATAAAGCGTTCCAATTTTGCAAAATAAGAGGACATAATAAGTAATCTGGAAAGAGGAGCATTTAGCGGCAAAGTCTCCCTTATTTGCTTTTTTTTGTCCCTCAAATAGGTATCGAAATGCTGGTGTTTTGGCTATTTTAGTGACCTGGCTCCCTCAGTAGTATGACAGCAATCTAATTTCATCAAATTAGGATACAGCCTTCATTCAGGATAGTCAAAATTTAAAGAAGAAGGCTGGCGGAGAGGTCGGCACGAAGTGGTAGTACAAATTGGTCTACATCTAATCACGTGTAGTTTAATTTTTCAATGACAATATAGACTGTATCACTGTTAAGTGTTGTTCAAAACATCTAGGTACATATTCCTATGTATGCACAACAAATGTTCATATAACTCCAGACTGCATCTCCTCGGATTTATTCTCCATCAAGGAGGGATTTTCAGAACCTGCCTCATATATTTTCGATAATCCCTTATGAATAGCCTGGGGGAAATTTAATTCTTGCGATCACAGCTTTCTTAAATTACTTGGTCATGATGACCTTGTGTAATTTAATAGTCGTCTGGACAAAACGCTGGACTTGGTCTTCTTAAACAATAGTGACATATGCGAGGTGCGAAGGAGAGCTCCACTGTTAAATTCTAACCATTGGTTTATTCATATTCTGCAGAAAGTTTTGGCAAATTACACAGAAGGGCTTTTGTTCACCTAAAAAGGAGAACCCAAGGATGATCTTATTCACATGATAATATTCAAGCACTAGGATATATGTTACATGGTACTGATCGGAACCTTTTCTTTGATGAAGTGTCAGACGTTACTGTCTTTAACATCTCCACCTATCTCGAGTTGTATTTGAACATTTGCTGTTCTACTGAAACACCGTCTACCAAATTCTATAGCATCTCTTCACAACTAAAATAACTCAGAAGAGAAACAGAGAAACTGTATACATCACATCATAATTCAGGTCTTCGGAGAATAAAATCTCTGATGAAGTCTGAAACACAGAGACTAAATGGGATACATATTGGAAAATCTTAATCATGTAAGAGTGATTCCAAAATCGTGAAACTTTTTAACCAACTTACAAACAGAAAACGAATTTCACTTGGTGCTTATTCTGATGTAAATGCCTTAAGTTGATTCTTTATTGTACAACAAGATAATATGATTGGACCTGATGTTTCTAGTCACGTAAATGATCAATTCCCTGGTTTTAATGAATAGGATATATTGTCATGTCTCAAGTCTTTAAATCCACCACACCGCCTAGGTCCCGATGATGTACCAAGAATTTTACTTTAAAAGTGTGCTGATATTTTGTGTCATCCTTTTACGCAAATCTTCAATGCACCATTTCACGGGGATACAGTACCTGCTGCCTGAAAAGAGTTAAATGTGGTGTCTGTGTCAAAGTTATCTTCTTCATCATCACGTCCTTATTTATGAAAACTATGGAGAGGCGTCTTTCGCATGCATTTACACCTTCTTTGAAGTCTTTTAACGACCCAAACCAGATCGCTCACAAATGCAGTAGAATCACATATATTGTTTCCAGTCTTGATAGACATACAAATTTTATTCCAGTCTCCTTTGTAGAATACATCACTGCTTTTGAGTCTATTCCTAGGGCGCTTTTACTAAGCAAGCTGATTTCAGCAAGCACTAAGTCCTTGATCACAAGGTGGCTGTATTCTCATTTTGCGAGGAGAAAAACCCTATACCGTTTTGAATGGAGAGGGGCACACTTCGTTGCTGACGGAACTGGTGTGTTTCAAGGCTCTCCATTCCTATTTTTCTTATTTTTGGATGACCTTCCATATTATTCCAAAGCAACTACATCAGATATGCCGATGATCTAATCATTTTTGCTCCACTATTTTCTGTGTTGGATTCTTCTTTTATGAATAGATTCTTGTCTGAAGTTAACAAACGGTCCTATGCTGAATCCATCAAAGTTTCG